CACACTCTAGGTGTTCAGTGAATATTTTCTGAGTGACCTCCTTTGTTCAAAGTGAAGGCCGTGGACCAGCAACATCCAGGCCCTCCTCAGACTCATGAAATCAGAATCTGCATTTTACCCTGGTTCCCAGGTGCTCCTGTGCACATTTGGGCCTGAGAAGCCCTGCTCTATCAGATACCACCCTGTCTGCCTGATGGCGGCCTGATTTGCAGAATGGTGGAAACACCGAGACTGTCTGATGCACCTGGAGAACTATTCAAGCCCAGGGAACAGAGAACAAGTGGTTCATTATATGGCTGCATTTCCTTTTCTTTCCATCTGAGATAGGGCACCTTGCTGCGAAGGTAAAAGCTGCAGGAATTGGGCCCGTGAGAGGAGGTCTAGGAACCGGCAGAGCTGGGTGGACAGGTGCTGGGCGAGGGGTCATTGACCCCAGTGGGATCGTGCTCAGTGATGAGGGGGGCGAGGAGAGATGAGGTCCCGCGGGGCCCGGAGTCTGCAAACCTCATCTGACACGGGAACTTTGAATCCAGAACAGCTGCATGTCTGGTCAGCACCGTGTCTGGGAAAGAAATGGGGAAGGGCCACCAGGGCACTCAGCAGCGGCTCTCTCAGAGGGAAACTGTTTCACATAAAGGGACATGAAATACTGAACTTTGGGTCTCGACTGGCAGGAGCAGATAACAGATACAAAAATTGGACTTGCTATAATAAAAGGGAAAATACACTGAGTAAGTGTTATGAAGACAATGGTTTCAGCTTGCAACATAGAAAGAGATGGGCGATGGGATTTTAAAGGACAATAAAAGAAGGCATCAAGAGGAGATGTGTTTCTCGACATAACAACTAAACAAACAAACAAAACCCAAACCAGCAACCAAATTACACAGGATTGTCTACGACACAGCCTGGGGCCCCTAGAAGGAGGGGTCTGCAGGGTCAGCTCCCCCTGGGGCTGCTGCCTCTATCCCCCTGATGGCCTCTGAAGGCACTGCATCCTCTGTGGTGCTCTGATCCATGAACAGATGTGGACTCTTCCCTGAAGTCCTTAGCACCCACACAGCCGGGCTTGGGCAAGGATGACTGCTTGGCAAGAGGAAAACAGACACTAAGATGATGACAGATGTCTGGCATGAGAGGCAGGGCACAAGCCAGTCCTTAGCATGTAGAATTTTTCCTGCTTCCTAATAGAATCTTCTATCTTCATGAGTAAGAGCTGCTAGAGAGATACCATGAGATCTCAAAGCTCAGGACAAAGCACAGAGATTTAGTTCTCCCTTCCGTTCCCACAGGTCTAGTGGGTGCTTGGATGACCATCTTCTCTGGGCAGCTGAGAATGGGAGTGACATTCCCTTGGGCAAAAAGCTCCACCTCCCCATGTACAGTGAGCTGACCCCCACCACCTATTTAGAATTACAATCTCAGGATACGAGAGACCAAAACTCATATCGTTTCTGGGAAGACAAGGCCCAGCCACAGAAAAAGACAGAGAATGGAAAACCATAGCCACAGGGGCCAATGCCTGGGCCAGGGTCTGAGAGGCAGGTGGCAACAGAGCCAGGGTCTGTGATGCCCTTGTGCAGAGCTGGGTTAAGGCCAGCTACATGCTGGGAAAGCTGCAGCCCCACACTCTTGAAAGGGGTTGATGTGATGGAAAACAGGGCACGCCCTGGGGTACCTCAGTAGTCTGGGAGCAGTCCCTCCTCGGCCTGGGAAGGAAGGGGAGGCTGTAGCTGTGAGCAGGCCCTTACTCCTCCAGGACAGCTCCTGGGAGAAGCTGACGGAGGCTCCTGAGCATGATGGATTGCTTGCGCTGTGCTGCAATCCCCTCCTGCCTGGAGGGAAATGACTAAGAACAGGTACAAGAATTTGAACTGCCACACTGTGTTTGCTTGGTGACTCTTGTCGTTTGGGGGAAATCAGCTCAGGGAGGAGCTTCTGTTCTCCGGGGCAGTTATCCCTGGCACATGCCTGCAGACCCCTTACCCACGGCTGGGTCTGGGGGGCTTGGGATCATTGCAGCTCCTGACCCAGGCACTCAACATCTCGACTGCCAGCCCCACCCTAACTCTGGCCTCTCCCACCTTGTTTCCCACTTCTCCACAGTCCCAACCACCTATGCAAGCCAGACTGGCTTTCTTACACTCTTCACCAGTGCCTTGAATGGCCTTCCCTCTCTGTGCTCCTCTCCCATTCTGTATAGGATACACTTCACCTTCAAGGCTGCCTGCCCTTTCCCCTAGGGGCCTGACCACTTCTCAGAGTGAGGGGTGGCCTGTTTCATCGGTGGCCAGGAAACCATGGTCCACTCCAGTTTGCTCTGGGAAGCTGGGAGAGGGGATTGGACGAGGGACACATACGAGGGGCCAGCGGTGGTTTGCTCTTCCCTAGAGAAAGGCACACTTTCAACTACGAGGTTGCGGCCCTGACCTGGGGCAGAAGAGAGGACAGGCCCCAAGATGGGTCAGCTGGAGATGAGGGCTGCCCAAGTGGAGGAATAAAGTGGGCCAGTCTGCTGGAAGGAGAGGCTTGCTCTCCAGGTCTGGGGGTTGGCACAGGAATTGCTGGGAAGCAGTTAGAGCCCTGCCACACGCATCAGAGAACCTGGAAGACCTGCCTACGGTCTGAGAGCCTGTTGGGATGACGGCTAGGGAGAGAGACCTAGCAGCTTCTAGAGGGGCTAAGCTGGAGGGAGGAGGGGCACGATGCAGAATCCAGTGTCACCTTCTGCCACCAAAGGCTAGCTAACTAGGCAGGGAAGCCACCATAAACTAGTTGATTCTGATTTACACATGCTTAAATGGTTTTGTCTGACACAGCGAAAGGATACAGGGAGTTGCTGCTTCCCCTTTTCTTCCTTCCACAGAGAGGCATGTTTTTCACCATTCATTCATCCATCCAGCACCTGCATCCAGGTGCCTGGCCCTGTGCTGGGCACGGGAGACACAGCAAATGGGCAGGACCTCTGCCTCCAGGAGCTCACTGTCTGGCTACAAATAGGACTGTGCACCAGACGGTTAGGTGCTCCACACATTCTGCACACACACAGAACTCAACATTATTAACATGAGTTTCTGTGCATACATTTAACACTGAAGCAAGTACAAACTCGGTTAGGAAATTGCATTTAAATATAGGTACAAAAATGTAATCCCAAATCTGTAGGTGTCTCATTTATCAAAGACACAAAACATTGAGATCGTTCTCCAGATACAGCTTTGTGTTTTACTTTCCCCACTGAAAATCCCATTATGAGCATGTTCTCTGCTTAGAAGGCTTTTATATTCTTTCCAGGCTTGCTTTTTCAAAAGCTAGACTTTTACTGGCTTAGTCCTTATAAGTTAAAACAAAACAAGCTGAGTTCTTCTTTACTCAAATAGCTTTTTATTCATTCATTCATTCATTCATTCATTCATTCTTTCTTTCTTTCATTCAATGGCTGTCTCTTGAGCACCTATCACTGGAGTCAGATCTGCACTAAGTCTGAGAAATTCAGCGGTGAACAAGAGACAGAATCCTGCCCTCAGGTTCCTTGAGGTTTAGTGAATTGTAACAACCAGAGCCCAGGCTCCCTGAGGTTGGTGACATGTAATTTTCCACTCTGGGTTGTTCCTTTTTGTCTGTCTCTTGCTTGATCCTGAACAGGTGACACAAAGGTGGCTCTACTTTGTTCTTTATGTCTCATCTGTCTTACCTGTGACTCCTCCACTGGGCATTTCATCGTGTCTACTTTGTTCAAAGGCAAATGACTCTGGCTTTCTCCAGAGGTGGGTTTAATTACCACCTCCCATTTTTCTAGTTGAAAGATTAAGGGTGATAAAGTAGTGTGGGGGAGGAACCCTTGGAGCACTGCCCTCTGAGAGGAATGACCCCAGGTGGGTCCTCAGGTGTCCTTGCTGTGCACCACGAGAATGAATGCTTGACCAACAGGCAGTCATTCAAAGTCTAACTGTGACCTATGTGGTTTCCGGGCATTGGTCTATCCAACAGAAATACAGATGCTTAACATGGCTAATGACTCTCTCTCTAGGGAAATTTAAGAATGAAGTTGAGAAAGAGAGAGAGAACCAGGTAGACTGTAACAGGGACTTGAAGCTTCAAGACACACGAAGAAAAGACAGTTGATAAAGCTACAAAGTGGAGACTCCATGAAACACCCTGAAGTTTTGAGTGGGCAGCAATCTGCAAGCAGCAACACAGGAAGCAGAAACAGCAGTGGTTGAGCCACCAAAACAGTGGCACAGAGATACCTCCAGCATCCCTGCCCAGTCACTGGAACATTGGTGCCACCACTAGAGCTATTGTTACTCCAGAAACCATCCAATTCTTGGTGAGATCCATCTATGCCGCTGGCCCTGAGCTCCTTATTTCCCTTAAGTCAGCGCTACACATCTGTCACCTCAGTGTCACCTGCACCTTTGCTCTGTCTTTGCACACCAAAACATCAAACCACAACAAAAATCCACCTCGATCTCAGGCCATTGTCTTTCCATTCCAAGAACCAACATTTGAGAAACGCCTTGATCCAAAGGCTGGATTCTGGGACTCTAACCTCTGCTTGTACACCTTCTGTGCCAGTCTAAAGAACAGGCCAACCTTCCCCAGGTACTGAATGATGATTCAAACTTGAGGCATAACAGCTAGACTCGTTCCCTTAGATAAAGTGAATAGGCTTGCTGGCTCTTTCTCCTGAGCACTGTGCGATAATTACTATTGATCCCAAAGTGTCATGAGATTTTAGAAAGGGTGCACTGGACAAAACGGGGCACGTGACATTAGATGAGTTGCCTCAGACGTTCTCAAGCTGTAAAATGGTGGTAATATGTCACCTAGGAGTTGTAAGAATCAACAAGCTACTCTATTTTTTTGCAGCAGAGTGACCACGCTTAAAAAAATTCCTCTAGCTACTTGTTGTGATGATTTTTAGGAACAGATCTAGCACCTTCTACACACCAGGCTAAGCTGCCTTCATTCAACAGGATCAACAAGAGGTGGCCCACCTTGCCAGCCAGGCTTGCAAACTGGCTTCACATCCACCTGCACCAGCGTGTCCTGAGCGGCTGGCTTCTGTCCACAGTCATAGGCGGTCACCAGGATCTCGTACTGGCGTTGCTTGTCATAGCTCAGCTTCTCAGTATTTCTAATGTTGCCTGAGGACACAGGGAGATTCAAAATTGTTTCAGATCCAGTCAACCACACTGCAGTTCTTTTATTTTTTCCTTTAAATTAATTTTTGTTAACTTATACTGTATTGATAGTTTCAGAGGTAGAATTTGGTGCAGTTCTTTAAAAATCCCTTCTCCACTCCTCTAACCTTCACTAGAATGGAATGACCCCTTTCCTTACCATCTTGTACAAATAAGGGCAAACAGGGGGCATGGCTTTCACACGTGGTCTGCTTGTGCCTTGGCGGCAGAGTCCCAGGAACCACTGGCTGGAGCCACCCGACTGTGAGACAGGACTACTGGGGAATTCCAAGCACACATCCAGAACCCAACTGGTGTGTTTGTTAGTAATGGGTTGTCAGAAAACTCCCTCCTCAAGTGTGCCCATGTGGTCGTGTCCCCGATGATGTAGGGCACCAATGCTCATCTGCCATGAAATCTCTGGGAAAAAGATGGGATTCAGAAATGTCCTGACACATATTTTTCAACATCTGGGCTTGTTGCCAGGAATGTTCACTGCCTCTTCTCACATTATTTTGCTACCAAATAGGAAGTAAAATCAATAAGAAAACGTGTGACCTCCCTTCTGAAAGCTATACAGAATAACGGATTCCTTGCCCTGGTGGTAAAGACATTTTTCTTCTCCAAGAGCGACTGAACCATTTTTCTGGGCCATTTGTGAGTTTTTGTTCCCGTGGGTTGATACTACAATTCAGAAATGTGTATTTGATAATTAATGAGCAAAATTCTGATAGACCATTTTTGCTGAAACACAGTTTTGGTTCTAAAGAACGAAGAAAGGCCCAGCGTGCCTTTAATACTTCCCGGTTTTTTATTCCAAGGGAGTGAAGTCTTCCTTTGCGGGGGATAATTTCATTCTTGCCTTTTTTCTGATAGTGGAGCTGACAGCAAATTACAACTCCAATGTTATCATTATCCTTCAGCAGAAGTGAAATTAAGAAAATGGAAATTTAAAAACAAACCAACACACTAATAAGCAAACACGGAATGGCTGACTCAGGTATATTTTTACATTTCATCAAAACTAAGGGAAAAACACCCTAATGAGCTTTCTTCCATTTCATTGGATATCTATGGCTCCCATGAACTGAGGCAACAGGGACGAACGCAAGAAAGCCTGGGGAGTTACCAAAGCCACAAAATGTCTTAAAGCTCAGGAGAGTTGACCACTGACCATGCACCGCTAGTGAAACGGTCCTCAGTGCCAGGCATGGGCAGGGCTCCTCTTGTGGGAGCCATGGCTGCAAGGTGGGAAGCAGAGTTCCTACAAAGCTGCCCAAGACGTGGGACCCAGAATTAGGACCATTTATCCCGCTGTCTGCTCCATACTGTTTTCTAAAAAATGTAGCCACAGCCACTGAATTGAAGTAAAATGTAGTTTAACAAAGCCAATCAAAAATCTCTGAAAATGGGTTTGATGTGTTTTTGGCCTTGGGCCTGGTGTTCAGAATCCCTTTCACTATCCGCCCCCACAATGTTAGCTATATCTCAGCTCAGGACCCCCCCTCCCCCAGGGCTAGAGCATCTCAGTGCTGGGTTGGTAAGGTTCCCTGTGGGTTCTGTTAGCAACCTAGTTTGTGGTTAGAGACCTCACAGGGGAGGAATTCTTGCAGGTGGAAGCACCGTGATATAACCACGGGAAGTATGTTTCAGCAACATCAAATTGAATTTTGAACAAAAAGTTTTGACTTTCCCTTTCTTTAAAGTTAAATAGCTCTCAAAAGATATGCCTTTCGAAAGAGGCAGGCTCAGGGCTTACAAGCCGTGTGACATTAAGCAGACCCAACACTATTGACCGCGGTAGAAAAATAAACACACAGGCGGCAGTCCTTGGCCCGGTGTGCCACCGCCACGTCCTAGCAAGTCCTGATGAAGCTGTCTGAGAAGCTAAAGTACTTCCTCCGCCACCACTGACTTCATGCATGTGAGAGTGGGTTTCACTGCCTGGAATTTGAAGCCTTAGGTCAAATATAAGTGTATAATGTTGTGACCAATTACGGTGCTGGGGAGAGTCCTGTTCAGACAAGACACACATCTAAACATTTTTGGAAGCTCAAAAAGCCACCCATTTTTGCTCCTGTTACAACTGCATTATTTTCCCACATTTGAATGATTTCTCCTAATAGTGCCTTCGGAGGAGACCTGAGTCCACAGTTAGCCCAGGTGAGTAGGAGTTCCTGGGCCTATTTCTCTGGTCCAGAGAAATGTGGAAGCTAACTCTCAAAGAACAATCAGTACCTCCCTTGCATATGAGTGAAGGTATTTTAAAAACTGAGGCAGGATTAGAAATGACAAATACCCACCATTTGCTTCAATGTGGATGGAACTGGAGGGGATTATGCTGAGTGAAGTAAGTCAATCGGAGAAGGACAAACATTATATGTTCTCATTCATTTGGGGAATATAAATAATAGTGAAAGGGAATAGAAGGGAAGGGAGAAGAAATGTGTGGGAAATATCAGAAAGGGAGACAGAACATAGAGACTCCTAACTCTGGGAAACGAACTAGGGGTGGTGGAAGGGGAGGAGGGCGAGGGGTGGGGGTGAATGGGTGACGGGCACTGAGGGGGGCACTTGACGGGATGAGCACTGGGTGTTATTCTGTATGTTGGCAAATTGAACACCAATAAAAAATAAATTTATTAAAACAAAACAAAACAAAAAGGCAGGGTGGAGGTACAAGGAGACAAGCATGCTGACCTGCACCCTCCTTCCAATGGAATTTAAATGGGAATAACGCTTTTGGAAAGTCATATAAACACTAGTCACTTTGCAACTGCTCATGCCTTTTGGGCATGCAATTCCACATCTGAAAAACTGATTCCGGGGGCAAATGATAGAAAATTGTAGATACAGGTGCAAATATGTTCGCCTAAGCATTATTTCTTTCAGTGAAAAATAATTTAAAAACCGGCTGCCTGATATTAAGGGAAGACCTAAGTAAAGGCGTCTATGCATCAGATGGAATGTTTTTAGCACTAAAAGTGGTAATTATGAAGCATTTTTAAGGGTGGAAAAAATCCGTACAACTGAATGTTAAGTGAAAGGGGGAAGATAAAGAGAAACAAGGAAAGTGTGGTCTTACTTTTGTTAAAAAATTTCATTGAAAAAGTATTGGTGGAATGTTAATAATGGCTATCTTTGCTGGGATTACAGGTGATTTATTTCCTTCTTCACACTTTTCTATGGTTTCTAAATTACAACGGGCATGTGTTACTTTTCTATTCAGATGAAAAAGAAATGTTTTCATTTACTTTAAAATAAGCAGACTCCAGGGCACACTTTGCCCAGAGGCAGCAGAGTCCCATTACTCACCAGGGCAGCCTGCTGCCAAAGACAGGCTGCCTGGGGACCACACAATTGCTGGAAAAGAAGAAATGTCTGCGGAGGGATGACTGGGTGTCATGGAGACCCCGGCTGCTCCCTCTGGTCATCCCTGAATGTGGCTGAGAGCTTGGTTTGTGCTGATACTCTGGTGAGCGCCTAGCTGGTAGCACATCCATCCCCTCACACAGGCACAGTACTTAACATAGGTATTTAATTCCCATTTTTACCTGCAAGGATCTGAGGCAAGGTTACCTAAGTTGTCAAAGATCTCTCTCTCTCTCTCTCTCTCTCTCTCTCTCTCACACACAACACACACACACACACAAAGTAAAGGATGCAGGATTCAGATGCAACTTTGTAGTTTTGAACTAAAAAAACCTAGCCATGCATTCCTGTCAGACATCACTGAGGATTCTGTGATAACATCACTGGTGGGAAGGTTTAAGGGCTGATGCTCAGGGGATCTGGGCTCCACTCCCAATTCTGCTACCAGGGTGACAGGTGCTGTTAGGCAAACTTTAGGATTCAGTTTTTCCATCCGTTCAATGGGAATGAGAACCTAGGCCCTACTGATCTCATAGAGACCAGCCAAGTCCCAGGAGATGGGGAGCGGGGAGCCATCTGAAGTGAATCCAGAACTTTCTGAGAGGGAGTGGATGTCACCAACTCAGTTACTTGCTCATAATTTCAGCCTGGAATAACCTTCATGTCCCAATCACCCAGGTAAATATCTGACGATCGCAGCACCATGAATGGAGCATTCCCTAGCTGCCAGGTACCCTGTGTGAACATCATCCCTGGGGTGGCTTTCCTGAGGTCTCACAACTCCACAAGAAGGCAGGGGCGGTGGCTGCCCCGATTTCACAGGGAAGGAATTGAAACAGAGGGAAGCCTACGACCTCTGGTAGGAAGAGGTTGAGTCTGGGTCAAGACAGGTCAAGCTGAATGCACTTAATGTCTTCTATCCCCTCTGCTGTCCTGCTTCCCTTCTTTCCCCCACAGACAAAGAGCTTGGCAGGTTGGAGGGGCCAGGAGCCATCTACCTGCAGTGACGGGGCTTCAGTGAGGGAACCCCAAACTCGGCAGTACTTTCTCTGATGTGCATGCAAAGAACTTCTTCAAGGAGCCTGGAAGGTCGCTGGGAGAAGTGATGGATAAGGGCCAACTGGGAAGCTCATTAGAATGGGAGCAGCCGCTTCTGTGTCTGCCCCTGGGTCCTGCCTTCATTACTTGGAGGACTGCTTTTGTAAACCTCACTGTCGGGGGCCCACACTCCCTGGGAGTGCCCACTCTCCTCTTCATCTAATGTTGTAAACCAATGTTGGAGGCAGAGGCTTGGCAAAGGACCATTACTCACTTTTAATGAGACAGCTAGGGAAATAAATTGGCATATGTTAGTGAAATGGCTCATCAAGGTGAGTAATTATCTTCATGACTGGGGCAGTTTACCCTCAGATGAAAGGATATGCTTCTCATCTCTCATTGGGCTGTGACTCTCCAGAACGAAGGCAGGAGGTCAAGTGGAGCTTGACCACTCATCACCGATACCTCCGCTTGTCGAGTCTTGCTCTTCACCAAGGACTCGTCACTCCCCAAATTCCAAAGCTTTGGTGGACAGGGACCACACAGTTGATTACAGGGGAACAGAAAAAGACAAAGCAGTTGTTTTGTATTTTATGGAGTGGTGTGTGTGCATGCACGAATGCCCGTGTGCGCACGGCATTTAATGTGTGTGTGTATTTAATGTGTGTGAGACACGTGTCTGTGTGTTGGGGACAAGCCAGCCACTAAATAGGGCCTGTAGGAAAAGCTATCAGGAAGCAGTTCTGACAGGCTCTACTACTTGAAATTACCTACTTCATAGCCCTGAACCAATCTTTAAAGTCCCCTAATTTCTCTTTAACTTCTTGTGCACTGATGCACTGATCTGTGTTCCACACGGTGAGCATTTAGCAGTGTCCAGGTTTGTAGCTGCCATTTCCACAGGTTTTATCATTATACAAGAAAACTGCCTTACTACTATTTTGTCTGTTTCATGAACGTTGATTTCATCCTCCAAGGCAGATCATAAACCACTGGAGGTCAGGGACGAGGGTGTCTCCTTGGCTCCCATCCCTTACGGAACCTGCTGCAGTTCTCGGGATACAGAAGCCTGGGTCACAGGATAAGTTTCTCCCTGGTCTCAACATCAAGGAGCACTGGGAGCCATGATGATACACAAGCAGGTGACTGATGGTACTTCTCTCTAGGCCTTGGCTATTAGGAGGCTCTGAGTGAATCCACTGCCTAACCCTGGCTCGTGGTATGCTTTACGCACCACCCTCGCCCTGGATGCCACCTGGGTCTCTATTTTTTTAATTTGACTTTCTTTCCACTGGATGGTAAGCTCCATGTGGGCAGGCCCATGTCTGTTTTGAGTTCCACTCTGTCTCCATTCCCAGTTCCCAGCATCATGCTTGGCACTCAATGAATATTTACGGAGTAGATGAACTTCAGGTTTTGCAACATTTGCATCTTTGCGCACTACTATATGATCCTATTTGAAACAAAGAGAGGATGATATATATATATATATATATATATATATATATATATCCATCATACTCATGCAATTAAATAAGATACTTGGCAAATAATGATCGTTTGATTAATATGGAGTTATTCAAAATTGCATTTAAAGTGGGCTGAGTCGATTGGGCCTCTGACTGTGGTGCTTACACTACAACAAGCTTTTTATTAATGATGATGGGGAATTAGACATGTGGCTTTATAGGACTGTTTTCAGTTCAGTAAGTTCATTTGGGATTGGGGTGTGGTGGTCAGCAAAGTATAGCCCACAAGCCAAATCTAGTTGACTACCTGTTTCTGCACTCCTGTGAGCTAAAAAATGATTTGTGCATCTTAAGTGACTGGAAAAAATCAAAAGACAGATAATATTCTGGACCACGTGAAAATCACAGGAAATTCAAATATTAGTGCCCATAAATAAAGTTTTATTGGCATACTGCCACAATTCTCCATGGGGTGGCAGAAATTCCCAAATACTCTGGCAAGCCCATTAGAGATTCCTAAAAGAATCTACGTTTAGAAGGTGTTCCCAAAAATCTCCACCTCCTCTCTTAGCTTTGTTTGTTTGTTTGGTTGGTTTGAGAGCAGGAAGCAGATGACTGGGGTGGGGATTAGTGTCACAACTTGTGATATAGGAAAGGGACCCAGATATGGCCGAGTTGATGGTATGGCAATTGGAAAATTCTACCAGAAAACCTTCCAGTCTTCAGTATCCAGATGAGTGGCATTATGAGTTCTATGGATTGTATTCATTGAGTAGGTTTCCAAGCTGTTTTGGGGGTATTGTAGACCTGGCTATGTGCTGCTAATAATGTGAGGCCACCCCCTCTAGTGTGGGCTGAGTTCTGGGTTATGGAGCCTACGTCATGGATGGCAAGGAAATCGTCACCAGCCATGGACATTTGGAGCCCCCACCTGGCCTTCTGAGAGGGGGTGGTGGAGTTGTTTCCCTGCCTCCCACCAGGGTCCTCTCGGGACACTCACCATTTCTGTCAATGGCAAAAGACACACACTCACCATTTCTGTCAATGGCAAAAGGCACGTCAGTTGTGACGATTTCATAGTTGCAAATCTGGCTGTACTGGGGGGAGCAGTCCTCGTCGATGGCCTCCACCTGCAGGATGCTGTCATAGATCTTCCCCTCTGTCACAACTGCCTTGTAGGCTGGCTCTTTGAAGGTGGGAGCAAACTCATTGACGTCTTTGACCTGGATGTGGACCACGGCCCTGGGACCGCACACAGGAAAGAAGAGATGTTGGTGAAGGGAGGATGACGCTGTCCTCCCACGCCTTCCATAGGCACTGACTCCCACCCCAGGGCCCAGGGAGCAGAGAAACCACAGCCAGTCAGGACAGTTGTCATCTGAGCTTTCTGTCTGCCTGCCCACTGGAGATGCCTCCACCTGTCCCTTCCCTGGTCCTGAGATGAATCCGCCCTTTCTCCGGCCTTCCCTGCTACCCAGCTCTGGGCAACGATTCCCTCGAGATCACCTCCCCTTTCCCTTATTCATTCCTCTTCTGTTCAGTGAGAACCTAACCACTCTGACACCGTGTTAAGCTCAGAGCCCAACTCCATAGGGAGACAGTTAGAACTCAAACTAAAAAGTGCCATGACAGGGACAAGCGTGTGGCACAGCAGAAACCCAGAGAAGGGCCCCAATCAGGTGTGCGGGGAAGGGCTGGCTCAGGGGAGGCTTCTCAGAGGTGACACCTGGATGACACCTGAACACGAGCCTGCTGGTGGCAGAGGAATGCCTTCCTGCGAAGCTGAGGAGCAGAGGATTGCAGGTGCAGCCTTGGAGAACCAGCCAGTGGTTGAGCACTCCGGTGTGACCCCTGGGTATACAGGCCTGAAGAGCAGTGTGTGATCCCCACGGCGGGGGCGGGTGGTAGCAAGGAGCCCTGTCAGGCCACTCACTTGTGCGACTTCTTCCAGGCTGTCTCCCGGGGCCCTGCGCCACAGTCATAGGCCTGGATGATGAACGTGTACTCCTTCTGCAGCTCACAGTCGATGGGGCTCTTGGCTCGCAGCCGGCCCTCTCCTGACGTCTTGTTGAGCACCACAGCCTCAAAGGGCAGCTCCTGGCCGTGGATCTTGAATGCACAAATTTCCCCTGTGGAAGGACGGAAGACAGCAGATGGGGACCCTGAGAATTTCCAGGCCGAAGACAGAGTTTCTCCTGGACCCAATTTGCAAACCCCAAAACCTCCGGGCCATTTCCTCCACACAAAAAAAATTGTCAAACTAGAAGAAGAGGCCTCTGGAGACCCAGAGCAACATGCTCATTTCATGGATGGTAAAATTAAAGTGGTTCACACATAGAAATGTCAACCATCAAGTGTATCTGGCAGAAAAAAGGGGAGTCATGGTGTAGGGGGTGCTGGCTGATTCCCAGTTTGCTGCTTTTCCTAGCAGCTCTCCCCACTTGCCCTCTGCCCAGTGCGAGAATAAAGATTTTGCCCACGGCCTACAGATAAATGAGTGCAGAGCAAAGAGGAAAAAGGCCAAAGCTTTCACAGTGTTTTGTCCCTGGAACCAGAAGCATGAGCATTGCGAGGAACTTGCTAAAAATACAGACTCCCAGGTCCCACCAGGCCTTCCTGAATCAGAATCTGCATTGTGTTTGTTTGTTTGTTTGTTTGTTTATTTATTTATTTATTTATTTATTTATTTATTTATTTATTTATTTATTTATTTATTTTTTAACCAGGGTGCCTGGGAAGGTAATTTGTTTGCTCACTCAATGTAAGCAGCACTGCTCTGTCCTGTCCTGGCTTAAATACGCCACGTTGCTGCGGCCAGCTTCCCACCCCAGGCCTCCGTTCTTTCTCTCCCCCCACCACTTCCCTGTGGGGAGAGGGGCACCACTCAGTTGCAATTTTCTCTCATAACAGTGGGGGTGAATCTATGTGAGTTCCAGAATCCCCGTGGAGCCTGAAAAAGCTAACTTCGTAAAGAGCTGAACATGATGTGAAATTAATGCATTTCTCCCCCTCAGCTGGGTTAATGTGTGGTATAACTATTTTTCTGCATTAAAATTATAAGACCGTGAAAACATCTTCTTTTTCTCCATTGATGGATATTTATTTCTTGAACCCTGACTGCAAGTAAGCCCTGGAGTGAGTGCCTCGGGAAGTACTGAAAAGTTGAGACACATTCTCGCCCTATCTTGTCGGGGAGACCATGTGTAGATGTCCAGAAAGATCATTCATGGTGCAGAGGACTGTGTGAGCACTGGGGCAGCAGAGTTTAGCTCTAGGCTGCTGGGGGATAAAACACAGACTCAGAGCCCAGAGGCCAGGACTCACATTCTAGGTTTGCCACAAACTCACTGCTGTAGTCAAATTGTATTGACCCTGGGTCTCAGTTGTGTCACCTATAAAATGGCCCAGGAGATGGTGTTGGAGGGAGGCATCTACCCTGAGATGCCCAGCCCGGGTCTGACATCATCCTGGCCGCACTGCTGGGGCTTGGGTGAGGGGCCTAGTGTGCATTAAGGGGGACTTCACTCTGTGGGCAACCAGGTGTCTTCTTGCTTCTAGTCCAGGCTGTGGCCAGCTGTTCCAAAGAGGAACAGTCTCCCGACACTGTGGGGAGAAGGGGTAACATGATCTTATATGTGCTCTGTGCCAGGCACCGAGCTCTGTATCTCCACCCAGGTGAATATTAGTCAACCTTCTTAGAAAATCTGGAGGCAGGTGTTTTATTCCAGTTTGTAAAATTAAAAAGGAGGGGGGGGGAAGGAAAGGGAGGAGGAGGGGAAAGAGAATCAGAATCAGAGAGGTTATTACCTGCTCCAGGTCACAGAGCTGAGGTTGGTGTAGGCCCCAGGTATGGCTGACTCCGGGGCCATGCCCTTTCTACTCCACCGCACCCTCATAAGCAGCCCCATAACTTCAAGGGGACTGCGCTGGGGACTGCTTCTGGTAGCATTCTATATTCCCATTCAAGTCTCACTCTGGAGAGAAATCCCCCATTTTACATAGAGGAAGCATGCCCTGATCTCTTACTAACAATGTTTTCTGAGATGGTCAATCAATACCAATCTTACCTGTAGGCTTTTATTTTTTATTATTTCATCGATCCTCAATTTCATTACGAGTGCTCCATTTTCACTACACCCCCCCCCACCCCCGGACATTTCTCCGATGTGGGTGAGGAATAATGGACAAGACAGGTTGCAGACAAGGCCTAACAAGAAGGACGGGCCCCATTCCACCACCATTGCTCAAGATCAGTGGTGTCACTGTACTGCCTCTCGGGCAAAGTTAGCTCTGCAGCCCTAACTTTGGCGGAAGGGCAGGTTTTGTCTGATTCTCGAGTTTAAGTTCTCTTCTGTGTTGGCTGGAGTTGAATGGATGAACTTCTGAAATGCCTGCCTTGTGATTCTACCCCGAGATCAATGCCAATATGGGAATATTACCAGCGAATGTGCCCAGCCTGGCTCTGGGGCAGACTCTGGCGTGCCCAACCACTACATGATTATAGGACCAATCAGGCCATTTTTCTTTGAAGAGTCAAGTTAAACTGAAAATAAATGAGAGTAATTTTCTGTTGGAAACATTTGATCACAACTAAAGTGGTTCTTAAGACTCAGAAATCCTTAACAAGCGGGAAGGAGAGGATGGAGGAAAAAAGGAGGCACGGCGGAGGGAGAAAGACACAGGAAGCCTTAAGGCCACACATTTCATCTAAGTCCAGCTCAGTTCAATTCAATAGGACCAGAACTTTCTGAGAGCTGAGTAAGTGCCAGGCCCCATGCTGGGCCTGGAGACATAAAGGATCCCTTAAAACACAAGGAGAGCCTATCATCCAGCACTCATTATCTAGAAGAGACAGCAAGTAAACAAGTGCCACAGGATGCTCACGTAGTCTCACCAGTTCGGGCTGAGACAGGATTTAGCCTCTTGTGAGCAAAAACTAGAATTCATGCCACCCTCATTTATCTCACCTCTTCATCTGACACTTGTGCTCCAGTTGCAAAAACATTCATTCATTCTTTTTTTTTTTTTTTTTTTACCCACTCATTCACCTTATGGACATTTATTAGGAACTATGTGCCTAATAGGTGACACATTAGTGAGCAAAACCAGACCTGGTCCTGTCCTATATGCTGCTGGCAGTTCAGTGGGAGGACCCTAAGCCATCTGATAATCACAGCCTTCAATGGAGAATGGACCATGATGTGATTGGAGGAGAGCTCCAAGGTGCTGAGGAAGTTCTGACCTGTCAGCAGGGCAGGGAGAGCTACCTCAGGATGTGACAGCTGAGCTGAGATTACAGAAGAAGAAAGGCCAAGAAGGAGAGAACGAGTTTCAGGCAGAGGAGCACAGAATTCCAGAGTGTTCACGATGCATGGGAATTTGGAGGCCTCAGAATGAGAAGATAAGCGTGTGATGTCTATGATTGAGGGAGCAGGGAGCTGACCACCCTAAAAGGCACCCTTTCTGTTTGGAAAGAAACACCCACAATTGTTTTGGATGTAGAAAGAGGGCAGGGGCATTTTAAGACCCATGACCAAGCAAAGAACCCCATGGTATCCTTTCTTACACACGTCACCTCCCTGTAGTAGTCGATCGCTTCTGCTGGAAATGGCACAGAGGAAGAGGACAGTTAGGACAGCCTATGGTTCCTTTTGTTTGGGGCTGTCCTTCCTATCAGTAAGCCTCGAGGGAAGAGAGTGTGGATCAGATGTGTGCATACCAAGAAGCAAAATAAAAACAGTTGGGTCCCGTTTGTGTTTGCGTGGCATTTACACTGCTCTGGTGAAGAATGAAATACATATGCACACATGGGCTATGAAATGTAAATTCTTTAATTTGGGGAGACCCTGCACAGCAGTTAACTGCTCTTCTATTTGCATTTAAGACTGGCATTGCACGGTATAAAGATGAATGGTAAAGTTTACGCTCATAATTTCACATTTTAATTTGTCTTTACCTAGAACGACATCAAATAGCAAATTTAGAACACCACAAGTTGAGTGAGGATCTGTGGAAGAAAGGTCCCAGGATGGAGTGCTGAGGGGGAAGGATACTTAAAACTGCAGTTCCCAGCACCAGTATGTGACTCAATTGGGCTGTTTCCATCTTTTGTGAGGCCTGCCACTAGGATTTGTTATTAGTGATAAAGGATTGCAGTGTGTGTGTGTGTGTGTGTGAGGGAAGGGGTGGTGCGCTTAAAGTAAAAGTTTGTCACAATGATGACAAGTGGTGGTTTCCAGAGAAAAATATGGGTTTTTTTGGGTAGGAGAGCAGCACACATGGATGCGTATACTGGACCAACAATGGGCTCTGTGCGCAAGTGAGACCAGCAGCACCAGGCCATGGCCTCAGGAGGCCAAACTCGGCTTCCCCAAAGGCCCCCTTGGGAGGCCAGACCAGAAGAGGGGCCTGGGCATTGTCTGGGGAGGGCATGATGGCTCCCTCCCTCAGCACCCCTGTCTATCTCACCTTTACCTTCTCTTCCTCAGTAAAGCCCCTCCCTACACCCCACAGGTACTGGCACAGCTGTCTCTTAAGTCCTCTCATCAGATTCTGGGAGAAATGAATGAAATTGATGAATGAATGGGTGAATGAAATACATTTTTAGAATATATTTTGTTCCTACCCTTGAATACCCTTGAACAACAGGTTGTGTTGATTTCAGTTTTCAGATGGGGAAACTGAGTTCTCAGCTTAAGTGAACCACCCAAAGTCCCTTTAATAGTAAGGAGCGGATTGAGGACTGATTTAGACCCCCCAATTCTAAATCCGGCACACTCTTTGTTCTTTCTTGTTGTTTATCACTAGGTGAGACTGACATTCTAGGACAGGGGTTCTCTAAATGTGATCTATGGACCACTGGGTTCCCCAAGACCCCTAGTGTGGGGTTCACAAATTCAAAATTATCACTCTATTAAGATATTATTTGACTTTTTCATTGTGGTGATACTTGCACTGATGGTATTAAAGCAATGATGAATAAAAGTGCTAGTGCCCGGGGGCGTGGGTGGCTCAGTCAGTTAAGCATCTGCCCAAGGCTCAGGTCATGATCGTGGGGTCCTGGGATGGAGCCCCACATCAGATTCCCTGATCAGTGGGAATCTGCTCCTCCCTCTCCTCCCCGCTTATG